ATGTTTACTTATCATGGACTTAATTAAAAATTTTAACCATCAGCCCAAATCAATAAATAATCAAGAGAAATGTGAAATTGATAGTTAACTATTGGGAAAAAAATTTTATTGTTTTTTTCTTGGAATATTTCTCATCTTTCATTTTTTTAAATATTTCTATCTGAACAGCATCATGTTAAATCATGGTTCCAGTCAAGTTCACACAACTGCATCTATCAACAAACAGGAGGTAAATTAGAAATACATTCATTATTCATTTTTATCTCATATGCATAGCAATTGTTTATATGTAGCTCAATAACTATTGTTCATCAGAATAGTAAGTAAAGTACACCTTTCACACCTTGAGATCTATAGGACAGATGATGTTACAGTCATCTGTTTCTTTGACCAACAGTTAATGAGCAGGATGTCTTGTGGACAGCACAACAACCAACCGCCTTAACTTTCCCCAGCTAAAGTCAGGTATCCATTAGAGTTGGGTGGACTCAGGGCACCTTTAAAATCCAGAAATTCAAAATCCCAGCTGTCACCAAGATTTGAACCCAGGAAGCCAAGAGCTTAACCACTCAGCCACCGTGCCCTCTGTTCATGTTCTGCAGGACAGCAAGGGATGCCTTCAGGACCATCAAGACTAAAGTTTGAACCAAATATTAAAAAAATGAGCAGTTTTATTTTAAAACAATGGCAGCATCACTGGACAGTGACTTCTCTTCAATGAGACTAATTACTAGTAGCATTAAAAGGTTCCATGAACTTGATAGAAATATTTGAAATTACTTCTTCAAAGTAGAAATGATAATGCATTGTTAGAAATTGGGAAAAAAAATCAAGATCTCTATTGTTTGTATGTTTTACGTTTAATTTATTTGTTCAGAATTTAAAACTATTACAACTAAAACCTCTCGATGGCTTCAAGCTGGGTTCAGACTCAGGTCTAACATTTGACCAGGCAGCATCTTTGTATGCAATCTCTGTCTCTTACTATTTCTATATTAGTTTCCCATCCTGACAGCTTTTAAATACAAAGCTGCTTCTAAAACCTATATATTATTTATTTTATAGATTATATCTGAGGCCTTGGTGAAAGAAATTTCCAAATTATCTGCAATAGTAAAATTATTGAAACTAGAAATAAAGGATGATAAGTTTTCATTCAAAGCAGGACAGTGGTAAGCATTACGTGGTAAGTGAGGCAACCAGGTGCTAAACATTTAAGATGGAAATTCATTGAATTTCATTTGTGTAGCTTATCAGAATAGGAAATGTTCTTACATCATTATCTTACAAAATTTTGCTCTAACCCAAAGACATTTTTTTTCTTCAAGTGAAATCTTTAAAAGAAAAAAATTGATTGCATTGGAGTGAACATTTGATTAGAATGGTATTGTTGTAAAATTGATTCGATACAGTTAGTTTATGGCTAATGATGTGTCACATGGCAAATGTTTCCTATTGCATTTACTTTCGGAAAAAAATGTGACATTAGAACTTGATAGACTGTGTAGATTTATTAAAATCCAAAATTTCAGCTAGATTCTAATTTAAAGCCTTCAGCTCATAAGCCTTGTGATTTACCACTCTGATTTTAAATTATTTCAAATTTTTTTTTTATGTGTTACCAAAAGTTCAGATATTGAATAAAAACAACAAAAGATTCCACGTGTGTATTTAAAGGAAGCTGTCTTTGTTTCCCAGGGTGGATATGTTTATTCCAGGTGTACCAGTAGTAGGAGGATTCTCTATCTGCTCTCCACCTCACTTACTACAAGCCAGCAGAATGCTTCACCTGGCCATCAAATACTCTAACCACCCCCCTGCTCACTGGGCTCATACTCAGGTAACACTGAACATCCTCAATAGTAGACATATATTTGTGTCTGCTCTAATGTTGCATACTATTTTATATTATTGCCAGCATAAGTTCTCAAGACTTACAAATTAGTTTCACTTTAAAAGGTAATGTAGAACTTTATTTATTTTAATTACAAGCTAGAAATATCTAAACAATATAAATATTTATTTATTTATATTCTGTCTGCTGACTGAAATCTGACTACAAATAACTTAGGGTTTAAGTCTGGAAGAACTAAGTTTCTATTGTGAAAGAAACTGAAAAGAAACATTTTAATCTTTTTTATTTTAGAAGAATTATTTTTTTCATCAATTTTTTTGAAATGTTAACCCAAACTATCTTTCTGTTCAATTGATTACTGACAAATGTTCTTTTTGTTTAGTGCAAAGTTGGAGACAGCCTACATCTAAGAGCAGGAGGGAAGTTTGTTTATGACCCTGACCCTGTCACTCCTTGCAGTGATCTGGTGTTGATTGCTGGTGGGGTGGGCATCAATCCCCTTTTCTGTATTTTACACCATTTTCTTCATGTTCACAACTTACAGAGAGATAGTAATCTTAAAGTTACTAGCAAGGTTGTCTTACTTTACAGTGCTCAAAGTCCGGATGAACTCATCTTTCTTGTAAGTCATCTACATTTAGAAAACCTTCAGGTTAGAAGACTTTAAAGTGAACTAGCAAGTAGACCTAAAACACTGAACCAAAATCTTCAAATACAAAAGCAAAACCCAATTAAACTTCTTTTTTTTTTTTTTGGAAGTAACGTCTGTCTTTCATAAGATATCTCATGTGCTTAGTTTACTGAATTAAGGAATTGATTCTTATTCTGGAAATAGCTATATACTTGAATAACTTCAACATTGTAAATGACTTTTTTAAAAATCTTTTAATTGCTTTTGTGTATCACATATTTCATGTTCATATTTAGTACTCGCATATTTCATCCTTGTTGTAGTCCAATCACTTGAGTGGAGCAGTTGGGGGAGGGGGGTATCTGGGAGAATGTTTCAATACTGCCTCTAGAGGTGGCGCCTCCTTGTTAGGTAGCCAAGAGGTATAATGCAGTTTATGCCTCTCTACCACACATCCCATATTCATTCAAGGAATTTCTTAAAATGCTGTCATAAAATCATCTAAAATATTTGTGATATATGTGCAAACTTATCCAAAAAAACTGTTTATTACAGTGTTTCTATTATTTCTATCTGTAGAATGAATTATTGCTATTGTCAGAAAACTATGACAATGTTACTATCAAATTCTTCAGCACCAAAGAGCTTGTCAAAGAGGATCACTTAATTACCAGTAAGAACTTCACTAATTGCTCTGATGTTTAGTTTTAGACTTTCACCCCAAAAAATAGTCTTAGTTCATTCAATTTCACAAAAAATAATTAACATCTGTCCTATTTTTCAGATGGTAGAATACATTACCAAGTTTTAGAATCAATTTTAAAAGATACTGGACTAACTAAAGACCAAGTGTACATTTGTGGACCTTTATCTTTCATTGAAACTATGGAAGTCTATTCTAAAGATGCAGGCTTCAGCAAAGATTGTATATTCATAGAACGATGGTGGTAGCTTTCACCCCAAAGATAATTGTTATTTATGTATTCTTTGTGCTTGTAACAAAGTTTACAAGAAACAGTGCAGTATTTTGTTGAATTGATCAATTACTTGGATATGTCAAAAGTTTTGAGAGATAAAATTATCTTTTGTTATTGTTTTGGCTATGATTCAATAAAGCATCTCAGAGTAAACATATACTGTTTTCTGTAATTCATCTAATTCTCTTTGTAAAATGTCTGTCTGTATTTTGTGTTGTTTTTTATTGTTCTATATATTATACAATCGTCTGCAAATAATCTGACTGTTCCTAAACTAATGCAATTTGCTAAATCATTTATGTAAATTAAAAATAGCAATGGACCTAAGACTGTTCCTTAAGGAACACCTGAGTTGTAAACTGTTATTGTTGTTGATTTAGAGCCATTTATTATTACAGTTTGTTCTCTCCCTATCAGAAAATCTTTTATCCCCTGATGCATGGACCTGGACCTTCAATGGCAAAATATTATAATTTTTAAGCAAACTATAGTGGTGAACTTTTTTAAAAGCCTTGGGAAAATCTAATATATTATCACTATTATCTAAACCTTTTGAAAAATCATCAATTTATTATTAGTTGTGTTTCACATGATCTATATTTCCTAAAGCAATGTTGGTATGGAGTAAGGACATTATGTTTGTCTAAGTGGTTTATGATGTTGCTACATATTATGTGTTCTAGGATTTTACATGTGATGCTGGTAAGTGATACTGGTCAGATTTTTCTTCTTTTTTAAATAAGGGGGTGACATTAGCTTCTTTTCAGTCCCTTGGTACTCTGCCCTGAACACTGGTGCTAGCTCATGGCTTAGTTCTTTGAGTCATCCAGCTGGAATACCATCAGGTCCAGATGCTTTATTTGGTTTAATGTTGGCTAATAGTTTTTGGATTCCCTTTTCTTGTACTTCTATGGCTCCTATGTTGTCTACTTGGTTCAAATTAAGTAATATGTCTTTGTCTCCTGTGGCTGAGAATGTTGATGCAAAGTATTTGTATAGTATGTTAGCTTTAGTTTCATTATCATAATGTGTTATCTTGTTTTAATGGTGTTACTCCTGTTGTTTTCATTTTCTTAGACTTAATGTATGACCATAGGTTTTTGTTGTGATCTTTAGATATTACATTGTTTATGTATTCACTCTGCTTACTTTTGTGTTAGGTGTTTATTTTAATATACTTTTATTAACTCTCTCTGCCTTAGTTTCTTTTAATTTTCTGTATAGGTTTTCCTTGTTTACAAAGCTTCTTGAATCTATTATTAAACAGCATTTATTTATTTTGTTTGAGGGGTATATAATTGGTATAAGATTTACTATAATGTTTTTAAGATAGTTTTTAATGAAATTGCAGAGGTCATCAACTGGTTGGTTAATGTCTTTTTCTGATAAAAATGTTTGTTGAAAGTTTAATGCAGCTTGGTGTAGTTGTGTTAGGTTACATTTGTTCCAGAGTAAGATTTTTCTTTTGGTTTTATATTTATTTAGTGTGTCAGCAACTGCCTAAGTTCTATTACCAATGGAAACAAAGCACAGAAGAATTTTTTTTGTAGAATACACTTTATTGACAACCCTTAAACATGAACAAACAGAAAATCCTAACATTAAAAAAATGGTTTTGTACGTTGTTTGTCAAAATTATTTCCAAATGCAATAGCTTTATCACAAAAAACAAAACTTTTTAAAAACAGAATAGTCTACTTAACAAATAACTAAAAAAAGCCTAAAAAATGAAACATATTTTCCCAAACTAATAACACCCCTCCGACTTGGAAAATACAAACTTACAGCTTGAAGAGGGACATTAACCAAAAAAAAAAAAATTGCTAAAAATGTAATTAAAACATCAATGACTGAACTAAAATGATTTATAGCAACTGTCAACCTGTGAAGTACTAAGTAATGTCAAAACAAAGTTACGTTCTTTGCTCAAATGTACACATTTGAATTTTGCTGGCATCAAAAAAAAAAAGATTTCTTGTTTGATTCTAAGCTGTAAGGTCTTCTCAAGCACTGGAATCATATGGTATGGTATGATGCTTGTTTTTCTCAAAACATAGTATATATATATATATATATATATATATATATATATATATATATATATATATATATATATATATATATATATATATATATATTCTGACCATTTGTTTGCCTGAAATTGAGGGACACAATACTATAAAACTTTGTTATAGGCATTTCTCAAAAAATAATTTTTTTAAAAATCTTATGATTTTAATTACTGGTTTGGGAAAGTACATTCACACACAAAAAATAAATAAATAAACATATGAAAATACAAAATTTCGACAAAAACAATTTTTTAATATATAAATGTGACAAAGGTAATTGTGACAGGTTTCTTAATAAGCTAAAGAAACATTTAAACCATTCAGTACTAGCTACACCAATTTGGTTTGTTTATTGAGTGGTATTGTTATGTTTAAGATGTCAATCAATTATTTACAGAGAAATATAAAGATGAAATAAAACTACAATACATAATCCAACTCATAACGAATGTACTGATTTTTTGCATCATTGGGGATACGTGGGTATGAAGGAATGAGTCCATCTTGGGCTCCAATATACACTGTGTTGTAAACCTTCCAGTAAACATCTCGCACTTTTCTGGCTGGGTGAAAAAGGCCCTGGAAAGGAAAAAAATAGGTTTTTGAGAACACAGTCATTGATTCACTGAGATTTACTGCCTATTTAATCATGTCTTTCTCTAGATCTAGTAAGTATTTTTTAAAAATTAAGACAACAAATAAATAAATTTACATATATAAGGCAATTAAATGTTATTCCATTTAGTTTTTCGAGTTTACACCAATTTAAAAAAAAAATAATAAAAATGTAAATAAAAAAAATAACAGATTTGTCCCATTTCCTAAATAATTAATGTGCGTTGAGGGTCCAAAAAAAAAAAATGTGGGCAAAATGAGGTAATTAACTTGTAATAGTTAACTTGAAACTTTCAACTATATTAAAGTTATTAAGCAGTATGAATGACAAAGCCTTTTTTGAAGCTAATAAAGAGATAAAATATTATGTACATTTTTTCCACTAATGGATTTAAAAATAATGAGTATAAGCATAATAATTGACATTTAACAATAGGCCAGATCTATGTCAATAGTACATTTAATAGGAGATTACCAATATTCTAAATTAGAATTTCTTTAAAATATATTTTTTGTAAACAATATCCAAAGTTATCAAATGATTTTCACTTTAAAAATACATAATCTATTAGCCACAAGTGCATTGACCCATTGACCTAAAGTCTATATTAAATTAATTTTTTCTCCCATCTAGATCTAAAAATATTTTAAATGTGGACTGTCTCTTTATTCCTCAGTCGCCAAATATTACCCTCACTTTTTTTTGTTTAATAATTCTCAAACCAATGAAACTTTACTATTTAATGGGCAAATCATACCTATTTCAATATTGAACATTCAAACTCCTTAAGTAGATCAAAACTTGAGTATGTTTTACACAAAATATTTACCATCTAAATGAAATAATTAGTTCTATTTCTAATCATGCTGTAAAAAGCATGTTAATTGAAAGTCTCACTGGTCCAATACGTAACCATTTCATTCATACAATTTTGCTCTACAATGTGAGTGTGATCAACTGAACTTCAGTAAACTAGGCTACACTCAGAAAGTGAGGAAGAAGGAAATTTATATTTTAATACCAAAAAGTCTTTTTTAATTGATGGAGGTAAACCCAGAGGGGAATTACATCTGATCCCTTGAACCCTATAATTAGAAATGAAAGACCACCACTTGGACAGGATTTTGTGATTTAGCCATCACAAAGGAGATACAAGACATTGATAACAAAGACTAACAGACACAAACACTCTTTTGTTCCCCTGGCAATCCAATCATTAAATACAATTTTACTGATATAACATTTCATAGGTAAATTATTAAAAGAATTTGGTGTGAATGTATATTTGACTTTCATTTAAATAGTTTTGAAGTTTTGTTTGGTGTTTTGCACAAATTGTAAAACATATTTCCTAGGGATAAAATAAAGATTATTATTATTATCTGTATAAATATTAATGACACTAAAAAATTTTTGAGAATAATTACTGGTAAAACTATTAAATGTAAATATTTTACAGGTACATGAAAATCGCTCAGGCAAATAAAGTAAATCCATAACACATTGTCAATTCTTAGTACCTGCATGGCATACTGGAATATTTTGGATGGACCAATAGCTACCCTCAGACCTTCCACTGCACCCATAAATGCCTGGACAACGTGGGGAGAGTTCTCAAAGATATTGGGCCAAACATAATTCAGAAGATGTACCAGGGCATCCTCACAACCAAAGCCACACACACCCAGGGCCATGTGTTGAATGGCAGCCATGGCAGTCTGTCGATGCACCAGATCTCTGAAATCCCAAGATGACATTTGAAAACAAAGCACTCAACAGAAACATTAAAAGAGCAATAGATAACTATATAATCATAACAAAAAATAGTTCATGAGATGTATGTTTTAGCCTTCTTGTATAAAAATGCTTTTCAAATAATATTGAATGCTTTACTCTTTTATTAAAATGCAGTATTTGCAGATTGATATGTAATTATTCCTTTTAAGATTTTTGTCCAATATTTTCATGATTAAAAATCCTCTGCCTCATTGTAAAAGTGATGAAATAAAGGAATAAATAAGTAAAGACCATGTTCAATAAAATTACAAGAATTTAAAGTTAATAATGCATACAGGTTTTATTTCGTAGTGTATTTTCTTTACCTGTCCATCAAAGCATCTTCTAACAAAGGTGCTACTGGGTAAATATAATCTTTCCCCATCTCACCAATGTACTCAAACATGAAAGACAGAGATTTGAGAACACCATTCTGAACATTGAGCTCAGGGACCCTGTACTCATTCATCAGAGCAGGCAACACTGTAAAGGGGGAGCAAGTTTCTGCCACAATGGCAATGGCTACTGTTGTACACACACGATTCTGCCTCTCCTGAACTTTAAGGTTATTTAACAAGGTGGCCAAAACATCATGGGGACTGTCAGAAATAGAAAGAACTGTGTCAATAGGTTAAGTAGTTAGGTAGTACTACAATGACATCTATGATGTGTGTGGAGAAATAACATGTAAAAGATTCCACCCAGACTGAATGAGTTTGTAATAAATGCTTGGAAATATTTTTGTTATATTGACATTACTATTTATTTCCATCACTAGTATTTTGAAACATCAAGTTTAACAAGACAGTTTTTACTGAAGCTATTAGTATGATTATAATTATTAGGGGCACGATTGCTGAGTGTCAAGCACTTGGCTGCCAAACTGACTGTGATTTTGAATTTCAGGGTTTTAGGACGCTATTGAGTCCACCCAACTCTAATGAGTACCTGACATCATGTAGGCAAATAAAAGACAGTTGGTCGTGGTGCTGGTCACGACACCCTCATTTAACTGTTGGCCACAGAAACATGACCTTTACATCATCTATAGATGCACATGGTCTGAAGGGGGTACTTAAGGCATTTAAAAAAAATTAGTATAATAATTTATGCCTAATCCTGCATTTTTTATTTAATATAGCCTATATATAGTCTTAGACCAATAGTAAATAATAAATAAATAATTCCTATATACATTTAATTGTTATATATTTTACTTACCCAATAGCTTTAGCAATGTAGCCAAATGTGTTAACTGTTGCTCTCCGAATAGCTTTCTTGTGGGCTTTCAAAAGTTCCAATAATTCAAAACAAATTCTCATCCATTCTCTTGCTGATACAAACTCAGGACCACGATCAGCAATACGACCAACTAAATCAATACAGTTTTCTTGGACTTTTTCATGTCTGATGGAAAACAATTGAAATTAATTACATACACTCACTAAAAGGCTATAAAATACAGATCTAACAAACAAATAACATTTTATTTTTGAAAACATGAATATTCAAATTATAAAAGTCTTCACTTGCCTGTTTTTCAAAATGGGTGTTAATCTGGGCAACAAATCTTTAATGGGTGGAGTCATTTTGGTCATACCAATAACATTGACAATGGCTTTGAGGGCACCAAGGATAGAACCTAGCACTTCAGGATACTCTTCTCCAAGATACTCATACAGCACAATACCAAGATGGCCCATAAGTTTTTCCTGAAAATTGTTATTTTGCATTTGAAAAACTAATAAGCTTTTTTTTTTTTTACAAAACATTCTAATATGTCTTAAACCTAAAAAAGAATCCAGAAATAATTAGTCATAGCTGGCAGATGTCAGGGACCCAGCCCTCCAAACAAAAACAAAAAAAAAGTGTTACATTAAATAAGAGTTGAAAATAGTTTTATTTTGAATCTGTACTAGTTTCTCAACATTTTTTGTTCTTGAATTGGGTGATCCTAAACTGAAGATGCATATTATAAGATGGATCTAAGTAAGTTTTAGTAGCATTTAAATTTTATTTTCTTGATTCACTTGTCAAAAAATCATTTAATAAACCCTAGTGCTTGTTTAATTTCTTTATGATTAGTTGAAAAAAGGTTGAAAGGTAGTATCAGTGACAAGAAATACAGATTTTCAACATTATTTTTTTATGTATGAAAAATCAAATTATCATTTGTAATAAACTAACTTAACTTTAATACAAAATGCTCAGTTGGAATTAAGTTATAAATTCACCTCTTGACAAGTTTTCATAACAATAGCTATTCTTGAGATGAGGTCAGCTGCCTGCTGTCTAACCTTGGCAGATTTATTGTTGAGACGCCACAAGATGGTACCACACATCTGGGGTAGGTATGGCTTGACTCTTTTACTTAGAGCATTCACCACAGTACCAAACCCATTTAACATGACAACATCCTAGAGGACATTCAGATATGAAGTAAATAATTATAAAACTGTTT